AATCCCTTTTATCTGATCTCTCCTAATGATCATTGAATAACATCTAAAATAGAAAACCTAATTCATCTTGATTTTCTTCTAGTCGCAATTTATTTTCTACAACATCCTTCCACATGTAAATGTAATTTATTCTATTAATCTATTAATTTGATGTACGCAAACTGAATTTTTAATTGTGGTTCTAATCATCTATCAGTTTTTCCATGATTGCCTTAGGATGCTGCAAACTCAAGCAATCTATATCTATATATATCTATCTATCTATCTATATATTAATAGGCAAGCATGTTTCTTTAAAACCTTTTTTCTCAGCTCGCGCGCACCGCAGGGAAAATCTACGCATACTGTTAGAAAGATATTTTCCTGTAGATGTGCAGAATCCCTTTAAAAATTAAAATAGGCTCAAATATAAGCACAAAAAATGAATTTGAAATTACAAAACAATTAACATGGGCTTTATGGGTTGCCATGCTGGTGACGAAATAACGACGAAATATAAACAGAAAATTAAAACAAATGGAACAAATTACAATCACATGTTTTATTTACAGTGTGGGTTGAAAATAGAGAAGTCTGGACCTTTCACCATAGCACCATGGATAAAACATACTCCTTTGACTTACATCCCCATGTTAAAGTTGTAAAGGGAGTATGTATGTATCTAGTATCTATGGTTGTAGCCAGTTTTTAAATTAAATTTGTCGTCGTTGATGTGAGCCACCAACAGATTTCGCTGATCTAAATGACTAATTTCTGTCGAATACACGATGTGTTTTACCAAATCAAACTTATGGAATGACTTATTATTATGACAAAATAAGGTAGAAAATATGATTTTAGACACACATTCTGTGACTAGCTCACACAACTACATGTTCTTTAAAAAAAAAATGGCAAGAGCTGGTCCACATGGATGGAATGTCTACTTCAGTATCCAATAGTCAATGCGTGTACGTACATTGCATATTTTTGGTCGAATTTTCGACCACTGGACGACCTCTAGTACTTATTTAATACGCAAGCAGGATTTTTGTGACAATTACTCCTCCGAAACTACTGAACCGATTGACATGTTTTTTTTGTCATTGGAAAAAGCGTAACGTGAAGTTGTGCAGGAAACTTTCTTTTTGGGGAAATAATTAGAGAGTGAGGCTGGGGGCCCTTTGAAGTTTCGTATTTCTCCATAAGATTAACATGGGAAACAACTATTGTTATGAAACTACAGCTGTTGTCAGAAATGCTGTTCTGCTATTTAATTTAATTTGTTTACAAGGAGAATTGTTTTGTGGTCAATGAATTATACTTTTATATATATTTTAAATGCTATACACTATATAAAATGATAGTACTGAAATTAAGAGATCTTAATTTAAATAATCAATAAGCAGGATTGAGCTTTTGCCTATATGTTTCCTGGTAAGTGTGTTGTAACTGTTTCTCATAGTATATTATAGTATCTTAAAGTAAAACCGAATTATTCTTTTCTGCATTTTCACCCCGTAGCGAAGCACGGGCAGAGCAACTAGTATTTATAATAGTTTAAAATATATGGTATCAGCAAACTGACACATCTTTTCTCCTATTAGCTTGTCAACAACTGTATTATAATCAGTGAGCAATGTGGGACTAACTAATATTTTATGGGTAAAATAGTAAAAATTGCAATAATCGTAATGTTTACGGCATAGGGGATTTTACAATTTTGTTTGGTTAAAAGGACATAACAAACTAAATTATAATCAAAGTAGTCTGAGCCGTTTTTGTGAAAATCAGATTTTTCGCCTATTTCATGGGAAAATCACTAAAAAATCAAAATTTCGAGAAAAGAGCCTGTACATACCATGGATATACTCACTTATACCAAATTTAATCAAAATCGGACCACTGATGTCGTCTATAGCTTTGTACACATCCACACATAAATACACAGACACACACACACAGGCATCACTTCGAAACCAACTTTTTTCGGTCCAGGGTACCCAAAACGGACGGTTCCATTTCAAACTAAAATCTATATACGTCCGTGAACGTGATAAAGGTACGTTTTGACTCCTTTTATCTATGGTTTTGCTTGGAGCGACAGGTGCGACGGTCGCGCAGCGACTGTCGCCGAGCGGCAGTCAAGGGACACTGATCTTAGGGGTTTTGCATAGTCCTGTTTTGCTTGGAGCTACTGTCGCTAGAGCCGCGAGCTGCAGTCGCTGGGTACTGCTCCAAGACCAGTCAGGAGCGACAGTCGCTTAGCGACAGTTACATTTCTGATTGTTTTTATAGTGTACAAGTACAACATTTTGACAAGTTCGATGACCTTTTATTTTCGCTATATGGCATCGGCCAACGTCTGGGATTAAGTAAAATTTTAGTGGTGAGGAAGAAGACAGTTTATTAGAAGAAGTGGAAAAACACCCCGCGCTTTATGATTTGAAACATATCTCCTACAAAGACTAACGAATAAAGGACAACGTCAGGATAGTTTAATATTATGTTATTACATTACAAGTTATTTTAATATATTAGTAGATAATTTAGATTGTCGAGTTTAAAGACTTCTAATTACATTTTCGTTAAAGAGATTCAAAAAAATATTGTTCTGTATAAATGGTTATTGATCAAATTGGCTTAGAAGTCAGACGTGTCATATGTAAATATATAAAATACTAATTATTAAAGTAATGTGGTAAGAAGAGGCTATTCAAATATTAATGGAGTATATAATGTACTGTAATTGGTATTTTTTTTCCATTTACAATACAATCGATAAAATATAATTTTCACTCTGTGAGGAGGTTGTTTATAACACTGATTTCAAATTCAAGTTATGCTTGTGTACTGCAATTTACGGAGAAATTGAGTAATTGTATTACATTTTGGCTTGTGACATTGCAGTTTCGGAAGGTTTCTCATAACAAATAACTAGGCCTATACAGAATACTTTATTGTTAAGTTTTACCTGCTTTACTAAGTGAATTTATCGAATTTAATTAGTGACTTTATAGTGCGCACTTTTGAGGTTAGGTGCACTGACGGTACCACGTCTCGTGACGCCAGGAAGAAGTTGTCGCTCCAAGCAAAACAGTCCACCACCCCGCGACTGCCGCTCGGCGACAGTCGCTGCGCGACGGTCGCACCTGTCGCTCCAAGCAAAACGTACCTTAACTTGAGTAATTTTTGTCCGATTTTGATGAAATTTGGTTTGGAAGTGTAAGGCAGGATCATCGATATATCGATGGGCAGGATAAACTTGAATGAGTTCGCGAACCAGCATGATCCGGACCATGGGAACAGTGTTTTACGAGAGCTTTTATGGGGTAAAAAATGGTTTTTCTAATTTTTGACCCTTAAAACACAAAATTTCTCAATTTCTCTCTAGACCTTGTTAAAGAGCTTAAAAAACAAATAATTTAGTATATCAAAGTGTTTTTGTACGGTTATTGGTAACGGAGAAAATTCCAAAAATTGTAAATTTAAAATTCCCATGTTATTCTTATGGAGAATATTGTAAAATGATGTAGTTTGCTTGTTTATTGATATATTTGGATCAAACTTGGCCGATTTATTTATTTTATATTAAGCTATTAATTTTACTAAAAAACTCGCTTAATTAGTTTCCTTGTAGCAGAAAACGTAGGTACTCGTTAAACCTAATGTTATTTAAATAGATTTGATTGAAAATCAGTTCAGACAAAAGGAAATTCGCTTAGTCGGCAGGTATGCTGCGGCGGGGGTATTTTATTTTAACTATGATACTATGTATAGAGGGAAATAAAGTAAAAAGGTTTGTCATTAGAGAGCACCAGCCCACATAGAGTGCATGCGGGTGGATACATATTACTTGCATATAACAAAAGAATAATATATAGTTATAACTTATAACTATATATTCTCTTGTTATATATATGCTGTGTTGGTCAATCAATCAATCAATCAAAAAATATTCTTTATTCATGTTCATACAATATGTCTTGAATAGCGTCATTAAACTAACATAAACAAAAAATTATAAACTAAATAATTTAAATCATTCATTACAAAGGATCTATATAGGCTTAGTAGAACAAAATGAGTGCTATAACTTGAAAATATCACAAAATCTTATAAGGTTACGTCAGAGTAAAACTAAATGGTAAAATAGTAAAATGGTTTAAATGGTTATGGTCATTCTGTTACTGTCTCTGACTGCTATAACTTGAAAGCAGTCCGAGTGGTCCCCGCATAGTTCTCGAAGTTGAAAGTTGATCTAACACTCAATAATATATATTATATATATTATATCGTCGTAGTCGTAGACTATTGTCAGGATTGTCAGGATTGGAATGGTCACGGCCAGTGTGCAGTAGTGCAGTTATTGGATACGAATTGGAACTGGTAAACGCGAACCTTACATATATAGAAATTTCACACAAAATCATAATACTGTATATTTTTGCCATATATAGGACATGCTCTATCTATGGTTTTGCCGAATACGGCGAAAAAAAGGGGTTTAGCTTTATTTGAACAGTTGGATGTACACTCTTCTTATTAAGACAAATTTATCAGTTAACTTATGCATTTATGAAGAAAAGTAGTTGAAAAACACAGATTTCCGTTCAAACAGTTAGCTGTAGTGGCTGTACCATAGATAAAACATTACTCCTCAAGTATGTCGTTGAGGAATATGTTTGATCTATGGCTGTACAAAAGCCCTATAGTTTAGACCTCTTTAGTCGTTATAAAAACAGGATAGTACCTATTTTACGTACTGTATTTCAAACATACAGTACTATAAATGTAGAGTGATTGTTATAATAATTGCTTTATTGTATCTTATATATAATATAATGCTTATAATCTGTATATGAAAATCAAAAACAGTTTCTCTTTGTTATGTTTCTCTTTGGCCCTTCTCTAGAGACCCGTCTAGAATGTTCTTCCATCAGCTGTTTTCTTACTTCTTGTTCTTGTCTTGTACAAGTGATTTTTTTTCTACTGTGTTGTGTTCTATTCAATCATATTGGTTTGGGGAATTGGAAAACGAAGTGAAGTCGTGAATGTGAAGTGTGTAGTGTAAATTTAAGAAATCCAAGTTGTTTAACCTTAGAATATAAAAGACTCGACACGATTCCGGATTATTACTATTGATTGTGGTATAATCAGCTATCAGGTAAATTTGTTAGTTATTAGAATTAACTGCAATAATTTGAGAATGACGCAACCCTTGCAATAAATTTGTGTTGTTGGTGTTACCCACGGCTGAGCCTATGATTATGCAAAGTTGCATAATTATCACAATTCTTAGCCTATTACTCCGTTATATTCGATATCCTATTAATTTCTGATAACATTTTAAAGTCAACGTTAACAGAGAGTACTGTATAGGTTAAGGAATAGAACTTAAACTGTAATACCCTATCTTTCCATTTACACCTAGACCTAACATAGGTCTTCTAGATTTTACTGACTAAAACTTAAGCCCCTTTATAGGAATTTATGAAACGATTTCGTTTTTTCTACTAGATAGTATAGAATTCTGCAGGATATCATATAGGCTACTTTGTTTTAGTCTAACTTAGGCTTACAGTAAGGAATAGCCTATCCTACTGAAACTAAAGCCGAATCCACGGCATTAGTTTTGATGGATGAAATTCACTGAAGCCTTGGGATTGGAGACTTTGATAAATTGTAACAGTTAAAAACTAAATATAGCTAGGTCTACATTTCGTCAACAGCTCAATCAGTTGAAACTTGTGTTACGGCCGTTTCTGTATTAACATGCCATGATCAGACATCTTTAGCTGAAGCAGCGTCGTCCCATTAGAAAAACATAACACTGGACACATTTTACAATTGCAATTGTTGTGTAAAAGATGATTTTTGTTTGTCAGCTTTTGGACATGGAATAAGTTATGCCCTTTGTATCTAGTTCCGAATGACCGTCCAGTTTTTCCTATGTAAAAGCTCGGGCAACTTGCACATTTATTTTTGTACAAATCTGACTTCTCAATTTTGTCAATTACATTATCAGAAATGTTTAAGTTAATTTGCTAAATAATTGTCTTGTTGTTGAGTCTTGAACGCTAATTCGATAGGCCTACCATGTTTCCACAATTCTTTTGTATGTGTGTATTGAATTGAATGTGAGTAGGATTCTACACAAAAATACTTCTTCTTTTGTGGTTGAACATCTCCCTAGGCTTTTTGTTCTTCTTCTGTCTTGATCTGTCAATCATTTTATTGTAACCATTTGATGATGCTTTGTATTTGATTATATTTATTTAGTTCTTTGTTAAAATTTCTTTGTTAGCTATGTAATTTTAAAAACTTTTAAATACCTGCTACAATAATGTAAACTTTGTATTTCAGGTTCACCATGCTGTCAGTTGCCAGGAGTTGCCGAGCCTCTTTGCCTGTTGCAAAGGCATTGTTCAATACCACGGTATGCCCCACAAAAGCACCTTCAGTGAATTCGTCTGTTTTGAAAAATGTTCTCTGGAAGAATTTTAGTAACGAGGGGCGAGATCCTTTCACTAGGACTGCCCGAAGAAGGAGGACGCTCAAAGAGATTGCCATGCAGCCTACACAAGGGACTCGTAAGTTGGCTAGTGTCTAAATGTCATGTTCAGAATAACAGAAATGTTACAATAGATTGGGACCCAGCCTGTCTTGGCCTTCATTGTAGTAAATGGTCTGAAGAAAAGCTGTAGGCAATAAGTTCAATGATCCAAAAATATCAGGGTTATTTTTACATTTTAGTGGCACATGGGATTTTACCCTAAAAATTTTAAGTTTATGGTTGTGCAAAATTTTGATCTAGATCAGAACTGTAATTTGTATTTCTGTCGCTCTTCACTTAAAGGAAAATTAGTGTTTTAGTATTTTTGTAAGATGCCTAGGCCTACTAGTTTTAAACTTTTTACATTTGCCAAGTTTGACAGATGGATGAAACGTAACTAAGCCTAAATAAGTGCACTGTAGTGGAATATATATGAAACTGGAATAACCACAAGGCTGGTTCCAATTACAACATGGCCACCGTATTCTCTGTAATTTTTAATTAGGTAATAACATCTTACATTTCCCATTAGTATTATTCTAAAGACGATAAAAAAATTAATATTTTGTAGGCTTATTCACATTACATTTCATTTAGCCTATAGGCTATCTTTTACAATTACTCACATATTAGGTACCGGTAATCTTGTACCGGCTCCTGTTGTTGTAGAGAGGGGGAAATTATGGTGGAACAAAGGCTCAGTGTCATGGCTATGTTAATCTTTTCCATAAAAAAACATACGCCAATGTAAACAAGTTCGAAGTAATAGATATTATGTAGGCTAATCTATTATTTTTTCCAGTAATTCCTCTAAAACTATTCTGTGAATTGTATTTTTGAATGCGCTTTTCCAGCAATACATATTTGCATCTTATATTTAGCAAATTTGACTTCCCTTAGGACTCCACAATTTTAGGATAAAAACCCATGTAGGAAAGTAGAAGAAACAGAACCAGGCTAATAGGTTGACAACTTAACCCATTTAATATCCATAGAAACAAATAACTTACCGTAACCATTTGTAGAAACAAATCCTTTGTTACAAAGCAAGCTACCTACTCAACAAGCACCATTTGAAGAAATTTTAGTAATGTCGATTGTGTTTATAGCATTTGCTGTTGGACAAATGGCCGTAGCTGGTGGAGCTGTCGTTGGGATTGGAGCGCTGTGTTTCTATGGCCTCGGTTTGGCTTCCAAGCCTGGCGCCATTGATCAGGCTATGTAAGTATGCCGAGAAGCAACCTTTGATATCGGTTTTAAATCTCAATACTGTATAAAATATTTAACCTGAAGCTTAGATTACTGTAAAAATTATACTAAGTAGGCTTAGTTGTACCAGTGTTTAACAGTTCGAATCAGTTAGGTTAATTACTTTACATATGACTGTTTTTAAACTAGTCGTTTCAGTTCAGTTCTTAGAATTGATTAGATTCACTAGCATTGTTTACTTACTTAACATCATTGTTTTACTTAACAAAACGAGTAACGGACCAATGAGGTTCAAGCATTGAGAGAAAAGAAGTAAAATTGTAATGCTTTGAATTTAAACTAATCAGCTGTTAGGACCAATTTAATTGTTAATGAGTGGAGCAATTAGTTTTTGGAACAACAATTTGTTGCATTCCACTGTCAGTGCCAATGAGAGGTTTAAAACATAACTTTTAGAATTTATGAGTAGTGATTGTTAGTAATTAAAAAACTTTCAAAGGTAAAGGAGTGTACGCAACTCATGTATAAAATAAATAGTCTCGTATGTATAAAAAGGCTTGTAGCTTGTACCTTAAATTTCTTCTTGTGTCGTTAACACTATCTTTACACAATCGTTGGGTAAACTACTATTGTCCAATTTATGTGACCTGTAAATGAAATAAGTTGTAAAACCTCAAACTTCAATGGTTTAATCCTTTGTTTAACAGTTAACTGTTAGGGATGATGAGCTTATGCTATAGGAACATTTACCATCAGGGAGTAACAAAACATATATGTCAATTGTGGGGAATAGTTGTGGGGTATGTTTCCTTCCTATCTGAAGACAGTCTCAGATTCCATAACCCGATATCTAATGTAACTTCCGTTTTACTAATCAGCTATGAAAAATGTCTGCAATAAACCCGAAAACAAAAAAACAAAAATTGTCGAGACTAATCTATAAGAGAAAACAAAACTACACAAACACAAATAAATGCTATAATTATATTGCGTTTCAGGCTGTGGCCCGAGTATGTGAAGGACAGAGTGAGGACTACGTACATGTACCTCGGTGGAAGTATAGCTCTCACAGCTGCCAGTGCCGTAGCCTGCTTCCGATCACCTGCCATGATCAGGCTCATGAGCCGCAACTCTTTGTTGGTATGTTGAAATTATCCTTGGACAGTTCATCTAGATTGTCAAAGTGATTACTAGCTTAGAGGTTTAATTTGAATTGATTCTCATCCTTCTGGGATAGATATTTTAGTTTGTTTACCAATACTACAAGACTTATCTCGCTTATTTATTAGCACTGATGGCTTTATATTTTAGTTCACATTTTTATTGTCCCTTTACCTTTTATGATTTTTTTTAGGGAGAGGCAGTAATAGTACATTTATTTCATAACTATGGCATAAAGTTACTCTCAGGGTGTCTAGTAGTCGGGAAAATCGGGAAAGTCGGGAATTAGTATTGAATTTTAAAATGGTCTTGAAAGTCGGGATTTAGTCTTAAATTTGATTTCAAAGTCGGGAATTTTTATGATTTTGCCGCGATCGTCGTCCTCCGTTTACGTAACCGCGAAGCCAATGATGATTGTCCTCACGGCCTCGGGAAATGTTCACGATTTTGCCGCGATAGTGGACGACGACGATAACGTTTCCGAAACCATGGGAGACGACGATGACGTTTCGGTGACCGCGGGAGATGACGATGAAGTTTCCGTGACCGCGGGAGACGACGATGATGTCTACACGGCCGCGGGAAATGTTCATGATTTTGTCGCGATCGCGGACGTCGACGATAACGTTTCCGTGACCGCGGGAGATGACGGTGATGTCTAAACAGCCGCGGGAAATGTTTATGATTTTGCCACGAACCCGGTCGCCGACGATGACGTTTCCGTGACCACGGGAGACGACGATGACCTTTCCGTGACCGCGGGAGATGACGATGACGTTTCCGTGACCGCGGGAGATGAAGATAACGTTACCGTGACCGCGGGAGACGACGATGAAGTTTCCGTGACCGCGGGAGGCGACGATGATGTCTACACGGCCGCGGGAAATGTTCATGATTTTGCCGCGATCGCGGACGACGACGATGACGTTTCCGTGACCGCGGGAGATGACGATGACGTTTCCGTGACCGCGGGAGATGACGATGACGTTTCCGTGACCGCGGGAGTCGACGATGATATCTGCTCGGCCGCGGGAAATATTCATGAGTTTGTCCCGATCGCGGACGACGACGATTACGTTTCCGTGACCGCGGGAGATGACGATGAAGTTTCCGTGACCGCGGGAGATGACGATAAGTTTCCGTGACCGCGGGAGATGACGATGAAGTTTCCGTGACCGCGGGAGACGACGATGAAGTTTCCGTGACCGCGGGAGACGACGGTGAAGTTTCCGTGACCGCGGGAGATGACGATGATGTCTACACGACCGCGGGTAATGTTCATGATTTTGCCATGATTGCGGACGTCGACGATAACGTTTCCGTGACCGCGGGTCTACACGGCCGCGGGAAATTTTCATGATTTTGCCGCGATCGCGGACGACGACGATGACGTTTCCGTGACCGCGGGATATGACGATGACGTTTCTGTGACCGCGGGAGATGACGATGACGTTTCCGTGACCGCGGGAGATGACGATGACGTTTCCGTGACCGCGGGAGTCGACGATGATATCTGCTCGGCCGCGGGAAATATTCATGAGTTTGTCCCGATCGCGGACGACGACGATGAAGTTTCCGTGACCGCGGGAGATGACGATGAAGTTTCCGTGACCGCGGGAGATGACGATGAAGTTTCTGTAATCACAGTCAATGATGATGTCTAAACGTACGGTACGCGGAAGATTTCATGATAAAAAACCAAATTTGCTAGTTAGAATTTTGTATTGCCGCATTATTTCTTTACTTGAAACACCACATTATCATACTACTTTATGACAAAGACAAAGAGTTGGTGTAGTATTATTTAGAAAATTTGGTTAAGCTATAAAAATTGGTATCGATATCAAGAATCGAGAATCGATACATTTTGGTATCAACACCCACTAATTTTGGAAAAAACTAGTCTTGAAAAATCTGGAATTAGTCTTGAAAAGTCTGGAATTAGTCTTGAATTTTATAATGGAAATAAACTAGACACCCTGTACTCTTTTCGACCCAAGATCAAGTTTCACTGAATGACGGAAATGAAGGAGAGTTGAAAAAATACTAGGCCTACCCGTTTGATGAACTAAATTTTTTTGTCTTATTGCACCATTGTTTTTAAGAAAATTAAGTTAAAAAACTAAAATACTTTTCATGTAAGGATTACCTCTCAATACGACTTCCAACTTTCTACAGTACAACTACAGTGTAGTAGAAAACCATTTTAAACAGAGTGAATCCCTCTGAAAATGTCCCTCAATAAACTAACCTAATCTTACCATAGTATTATTACCTAGAGAAGTAAGATACAGGTGATAAAAGTTTATGGGACAATCGTGTGCTTTTGGCTCTGGTACGGTGGGGCGGAAATGTCCGAACGGCGATGGCCACATAGCAATTTTGTACAGCAGTTGTAGCGCACAGGGTCTTCCTACAGCATGAGTGATGTGATGGGGAGAGGGGAAAGGAGAGCAGAAGGGGACGACGAATACAATTCGCTAGACACCAATGACTGTTGCTAGACATCACTTGAGTGTACCACTGACTTATCTGTGGTAGCATATGCTCACTGATTACCCTGATGTTGATTGCAGGCAGTGGCAGGCACCTTTGCAGCCATGATAGGCACATCGATGGTGGTTCACAATATCCCTTACCAGCCGGGCGTCGGAGCTAAACAGCTTGCCTGGGCTGTACACGTTGGCGTCATGGGGGCACTCATTGCACCCATGTGTCTCTTCGCTGGTCCACTGGCCATCAGGGCTGCTTGGTGAGCAAAAAACTGCTGTGTTATTATGTGATATTGAATTAAAAAAATGTAGTGATCAGTCTTCACTGTAATCACTGAATACATCCTTGATAGATGTTAAAGAGAGAGCGGTCGTTATTTTGAGGAACTCTCATCACGAAGAAAGAGCGTCAGAGTACACATTTTTAATATCTTAATGCCTTTTTATGTGACTATATTTTATGTGTTTTGGTGGTTGATTTTGACATTATTGTAACATGGTCTTGTTGCTATCAAACATCTACCTTTTTTTAGGTAGTATCTTTGATTGATAGCCTAATAACATATACCATCTGGATCAAGAATCGACCCAGATTCATTGACTTTTATGTAAAATAACTTGCGGTAATAAATCTTGGAGCAGGCTAGATCAATTTAAAAACTCAAATCCTAGGATTGATAATCTTTAACTTGGATTAAAACTGATACCTATCATTTGTTGGATCTATTTTGTTTAATTAATTGCCAATAACAAGATGGATCATTGTGAAAATGTAGTTTTGTGGAATAATTTACTAACACAATATGCTGGTCTTAGACTTAAGCTGTGAAGGCTATAAGTGCAGAATACAAAGCCTAATCAAACATAAGAAAGTAGTGTTGGAACAATCCCTGTGCTTCATCTGACGACTCAACATTGTCTTTACGCAGGTACACAGCTGGAGTGGTGGGAGGTCTCTCCGCCGTTGCTGTTTGTGCTCCGAGTGACAAGTTCCTCACCATATCAGGTCCGCTAGCCATCGGTTTGGGTGTGGTTCTCGTATCTTCACTTGGTAAGTTGACACTAGTGTGATATGCAGAAAACCCCCTCGCTTTTTATAGGTTATTCTGCATACGCACATGGGAGCGTAGCTTTATAGCAAACCCGAATCTTTAAACTTATTCTACTTTATGCTATGAGCTGGGTAGCTGTTCAATAAGAGAATCAGATTGTGTTCATCAAATAGGATTTTAATTTGTCTAAAGTAATCAAGCTTTAATACAGTGACAGTTACTCTTAAGTATAGCCTACTAACAAATGCCTGGTAAGAACCGCTCTGGAGGTAGCTTGAATCTTAGATTTATAATCCCCAAAAACGAAATGAAACTATTCCCTTGTAATCTAATCAAATCAAAGTATAAATCCCCAAAAGAATTCCTTCAAAACAAAACACAAAACCCCAACTAACTTACAGTCCCCTTAAATCAAAACTTCCCGTACAAAACTCCCGACTACAGGGCCTAACCCCAAGATAGAGAAACCAGTACTCACCCAACTCTCCTGGGCACCTTGCCCCGGGCAACTGACCCCTTTCTCTACCTCAGGTGGCCTATTTATTGATCTGACAGCTACTGAGAGCAAAGCCCTCAGTGTTTACAAAACACCTCCAGCACGCTTCACAGCAAGCAAGGCCTGACCACAGGTCATCAACCTAGCTTGCCCAGGCTACCCTCCTTTACATCCCCCCTTCTCCTCCAGACGATGTCCTCAGCGTCTCTTTTAACATTCAAAGAAAAATTTATTACAATTACAAACAAAATTTTTACAAACAAAAAATCCCCCAATTAAAAAAACCTTTAAGACAAATTACTTTACAATATTACAAAACCGAGAAAACAACAAATTACATTTTATCCATAATCCTAAACATATTCACAAAAGCATTGTTTTCCTCAGTGGTGATAGCAATGAATGAGTGCAAAGCGCCTTGTCTCCAGTGGGTAGATGGAATGTGCTGAGTCACCAGGTAGTTTTCTGTAGTAGTGCTGATGTAGACAACTAGCTGAGTGTGCAAGGTTGGCCAACATCAGCTCGTCAGGTTACCAACTTGAACTGGACTTCAAAACAATGCTAATGTTTCTGAAAACAACTAAGATAAAACATTACTATATGAAATAAACTAATCAAACATGGATAAGCATATCCACACTAGGCAGCCAGTTCTGTTTGAATGAGTAAAGGTATACTATCCTGAGGCCAGCCCTTGTTAAACGTTTTTTAATAACTCACAAAACACCCCTTTTTACTATAAAAACTGAAAGTTAAATCTCCGAAACTGAAAAGACAAACCTCCAAAATGTTTCCATACAATGACCGCTAAAAAAAACATATTATAATTTACCTACTCTAATTAAGCTATTAAAAACCAATACATATCGTAATAAAAAATACTACCCTATTAAGAACTTTTATAACTCTACACTCCCACGCTCAAAATCTAACACACTGACACCACTCTTATTCCACAATATAAAACCTATTTTTAAAATGTTGCTGATACAAAAATAACCCTAGGGTAGGCCTATTATCTCAAAGAAGGGTACCTAAAGTAATCACAATTTTTACCATAAATCTTCAAAACAATACTAAACAATAGAACATATTCAGTAACTCACTGCCTATATATCATCACTTAACCAAAATCAATACTGTATATACAAAAAAACGAGATACCGCCTACACTTAAATTACCTTACTATAAGAAATATTGGACAATAGGCATGAAAGGATATCACTCAGGTATTCCCGTTGACTCAGGCATTCTGCCTAAAATTCTATGAATGCCAAATATGAGAGCCTTACTTGTTCAATCCTAAATACCCCTACTCAGTTCGGAATATTAGTACTGAAACAAGCGGCACTTCAGCATCTGTGAAGTACTTCTGAGTGATAGCAGGGAAACTTGGAAAACCATAATGAACATGGAAGTTATTACACAACAATTGATAAAACCACAAAATTAAACGATACATAATCAAACTAACAAATCACCTACCGCTACTCTTTGAATTTAAAGTTAATTTTAAGCAGAAAATTAAATACTGACAAAAACATGTAATCATACACAAAAGTATACTTCACTATTTACATTTTACAAGAGTAGGTACATACTGATTTCCTTACATACAATTAAGCTCATCCTACCCCTTTTGCATCATCCCTATGGTCTCTCTTGAGTCTACCAACATGTAACCTATCCTTCGACCATTTTCCCTCTTTCCCCAACATAAAATCATTATTCAAAAAGCGATGAAACTTTATGGCTTCTTTTCCTCTCGGTGTCTCAACCAAGACCTCATCGCCTACGTCACATAATACATCTCTCCTATTTTTGTCCCAAAGCTTACTTTGAAGATCATGTGCTTTGCCACAATCCCGAGGTGACACCTCTTGTACATCATGCAAAATCGTCCCTGTATTTAACACGTCATGATCTGGAATCTTCGGTAAAATTACTAAATCATTTGATTGTGAGGCCTCAAGCACACGATTTCCCTTCATGTCCATTTCTTCCTCAACACGCAAGCTACTACACAAGGTTGTGGAATTGTTCTGTGTACCTGTCACAAAATTAACCGGTGACGTTATTTCACTACCCGTCCTCTTACATACCACGTTGTCATCTTTGAAATTAGGGACATCATTCTTTAATGCTACCTCTGATCGAATTGGAACCACACCTCCACATTGTAGAGGAATTTGTATGTCTTTTAATGTGTAAACATTAATTGCGTGTTGTTGCAATTCTCCCCTTCTAGTCCCGAAATTCATCAACCAATTCATGTCCATAGGCAAAGTTAGCTTAAAATTACCAAAATCAAACTTTATTAAGTGTTTTGCATAGTCCAAAACTACCTTATTGCGAAGCAGAAAATCATTTCCTAAAAGGACCTGGGAGCTTAAATTTGATATAACATAAACATCTTGACTGAAACAAACATCATTAATTGTAAACACGATGTTTGTTCTGCCTAATACCTTAAGAGGAGATATATCTGCAGTTATTAGCGAAACATTTCCTGGAATGATCACTGTGTCTTCATTCACTAGACTGCAATCAATTAAAGATACATTTGCTCCTGAGTCTAGCGATATTTGTATATTCCTACCATTCAATACCCCATTGACATGCAAGGCTAGCTGAGTTGTATTATGATTGTTGTTTACTGACTCAACAATGTCATCGGACTTACACACCAAAGCCTCAGCGCTGAGCGGCGCAACGTCAGCACTACTCGAGGTCCCTGCACTGCTACGACCTTCTTGCTCATCAAAACAATTAGTGTTACTTACCACCCACCTTAGCATGTCTAATATACATTTACATTGTAAGATTATCTGTTCGGATTTTGATGGAATATTGATGCTACTAAGACTCTCGGAAATTTCTTGATTCTTTGAATCAAAATTTACCTGGGAGGGTTGAATGTCCCCTCCCGGCCATTCAAGTTTTTTGGAAAATTACACTCCCTAGCAAAATGGCCGAAAGACCCACATGAATAACATCCCATGTCTCGTTGGTCATTGAACCTTACTCTCCTATCCCGACTAATACTCCTATGTCCTCTATCATAGCTCATCTCGTTCTGATTATAACCTCGTTCCACACTACGTCTCTCCCTGGACCTACCCCTGTACTCTCTATCCCAACCCCGGGACCAGCTTCTCCTACGTGAAGAATCCCTAACCTCACGAGAATCGTCACGGTATCTCCCTCTCGCCCTATCTACGTCTTGATAATGGATAGGCTCCCCCTTACGTTCCTCTCTCTTCCCGGAAAGATTGGCAACCTGTAGCTGCTGCACCAGCTGGGTTAGCGAATCTAACTTTTTCTCCAAACCTTCGTTAACTGTCGTGTTAGGGGTGCCACCAATATTTTCCAGCCCTAACCTTTGCCTTATTAAAAATGATGACATTTCATACTTCGAAATGTTTTCCCGTAGTCTCCCCGTTGTCGAATTGTCCAGCATCGAAATTTGCTGGAGGAGGGCTGGGTTGAGTCCTTTTAGGATATGACCACAAATCCTGGCCTCCGACATCCCAGGGTCAACACCCGCACACAATTTTTCTACGTCCGCGAAATATTGTATCACCGATTCCGTTGGCAACTGAACTCGTGAGTTCAGCTTAGCTAACATTAACTCCTGCGATTCAGCTGGAGAGAAAACTTGTATGAACCTTCTCTTAATCTCCTCCCATTCTATTTCTCCATTCTTTCTTTCGATATTCTCAAAAATATCCAGGGCCGTCTGAGAAAGATAAATAGGAAAATATGTCTTAATTTTGTTCTGGTCCCAATTGTTGACTATAGCCGCCCTCTCGAATCGTTTTATAAATGAGACGATGGATTCGCCCGGCGACCCCGAGAAATTCCCAGGATGAAAGAAAGGCTGTTTTTCTTTATTTACGGCCATGTTTGGAAAACCAACAGAACCCGAAGTTGAACTGAAGTCGTCGATTTCTTCGTAAACGTTCTCAACCTCGTTCTCGTTCTGGTTTTCGTAAACGACTTCCCTATTTAAATTTTCATTTGAAAGCTGTTCTTGAATAAAACTAACTCTCCTATTCCACTTACTTATATCCTCATAAAATGATACACCTTCTTGCTTATTCTTATCATCTAATTTCATTAACCTAAGACTAGATCGTAAAAACTCTAAGTCAGCTCCCTTAGGTATAGGTAATTCTAATTTATGAAACAATTCTTTCGCTTGCTCCTTGTTTAAATTTTTTATGTCAGTTAAACTTAGACCCACATCCATTCTCTTCGTAAAATAAACAATTCATTTTCTATTGTAACTGTAACTCTAAACTTCTAAACTAGGTTAAGAGAATGCTTTGATCGAATATATTGCCTCACTGTATACCTTACTAGACACAATTAGACTGGATTGCTTAATCCCTACTGAACAAAGTACAACAGAATCTATGTAGCAATACTGCTAACTATGCCGAGCTAGCACAAACCTAGCATGTCCTAACAGCAACCCAACTCGCTTTGTATCACAAACAAAAATTGATTTACAAACAAAATATTTGAGAGCCAATTTAAATGAGGTACCAGAATCGAAAATTTTGTAAAAGTTTACAAAATTCCGGCGCCTACACCACTTGTGATATGCAGAAAACCCCCTCGCTTTTCATAGGTTATTCTGCATACGCACATGGGAGCGTAGCTTTATAGCAAACCCGAATCTTTAAACTTATTCTACTTTATGCTATGAGCTGGGTAGCTGTTCAATAAGAGAATCAGATTGTGTTCATCAAATAGGATTTTAATTTGTCTAAAGTAATCAAGCTTTAATACAGTGACAGTTACTCTTAAGTATAGCCTACTAACAAATGCCTGGTAAGAACCGCTCTGGAGGTAGCTTGAATCTTAGATTTATAATCCCCAAAAACGAAATGAAACTATTCCCTTGTAATCTAATCAAATCAAAGTATAAATCCCCAAAAGAATTCCTTCAAAACAAAACACAAAACCCCAACTAACTTACAGTCCCCTTAAATCAAAACTTCCCGTACAAAACTCCCGACTACAGGGCCTAACCCCAAGATAGAGAAACCAGTACTCACCCAACTCTCCTGGGCACCTTGCCCCGGGCAACTGACCCCTTTCTCTACCTCAGGTGGCCTATTTATTGATCTGACAGCTACTGAGAGCAAAGCCCTCAGTGTTAACAAAACACCTCCAGCACGCTTCACAGCAAGCAAGGCCTGACCACAGGTCATCAACCTAGCTTGCCCAGGCTACCCTCCTTTACACTAGGTCTATTTCTCCATTTGTATCTCTCAAATGTGATTTGTTTTGTTGAGTTTTCCAAAAGTGTATGCTGAACTATAAGTTTTACATAATGAAAACCTAATATAATTAGGTTCTCTGAAGCAATATAAATATAAAGTGTAGACAATAACTGTTAATTATGTTTTATATTCTTTCTAGTTTTGTATAATTTATTTTTTCCTAAAAAAAAAACTTCTGTTAAAAATTACAGATTACACATACACAGTAGAATTTCACTAATTCGAACCTCAATAATTCGAAAACCTCTGTTATTAGAGATGGTTGTCTGTTTCCTTCGCGAAACATATAAAATTAAAAAAATAATATACCGATAGTTCAAAGTGATTTTTACGCAATGTAGCCTCTACAATTCAAATTGTAGCCTCTAATTATTCGCACATACTCGAGCCTCTATAATTCAAATGTTGTAGCCGTAATTTGATCTGTAACTTCCAAAATTCAAAGTCAGCCTCTACAATTCAAACTGTTTTACCATAAGCCTCTGTAATTCGAATTCAGGACAAAAAGTACGCCTGTTGAAAAATGATCTGACGCTCTTATTGATGTTCCCACAATGTGTTCATTAGTCTCCCTCTCAAACTCTCTACACTTAAAACTGGGACCTCCATAATTTGAATTTTATTTTTTCTAACCTCTACAAATCAAACTCTCTATATTTCAAACTTCCCATAGTTCGAAATACAGTATAACCTCACTAATTCAAACCTCCATAATTTGAAAACCTCTATAATTAGTAATGTTTGTTTGTTACCTTCAGAAAACCTCTAAAATTCGTAAAATAATATACCGATAATTCAAAGTGATTTTTCCGATTATTGCTGCTTCTACAATTCGAATTTGTACATACTTGAGCCTCTACAATTTGAATTTTGTTGCCACAATTTGAATTGTTACCTCCAAAATTTGAAGTCAACCTCTACAATTTGAACTGTGTCACCGTAAGCCTCTGCAATTCGAATTTAGAACAAAAAATATGCCTGACATGAAACATGAACTGTCACTCTTATTGATGTTCCACAATTTGTTCATTAGTCTCCGTTCTCTCAAACTCTCTACACTTAAAACTGGGACCTCCATAATTTGAATTTTATTTATTCTGACCTTTATAATTCAAACTCTCTATATTTCAAACTTGCTATAAATCGAAATATATTGTCACTCCTCAGAAATTCGAATTAGCGAGGTTCTACTTATATTTGAACATTTTCTTTAACAAAAAGTTTTTTTATCGACAAAAGCTTTAAAAGAAATTTGTTTTATACATTTTGAAATTTGTATTAATTAGGGATTGAAACCATGAATTATGCATCCAAGTCAAACCATTAGGCTACATTACACATACATTACATTATTTGTCATGAGAGCCGAAGCCCCCTGACTGCATACCCGGTACCTATCGTGAGACTTACCCGGGCCCCATGATGTAGGCCGAAGCTTACGCATCAACCTTTAGCACATCATGGGCGGATGACTTAAGGTCATCAGGCTCGCCGGCTGCCGAAGCAGACCCTTCGGAAGGAGGGTTGCCCCTCAATCCTAACCAGGGATTCCGGCTGCTTGTTTAAGCGTCACTCCACCTGGGTTCCACTAGGTCGGGACCTAGAGGTCCATGGTAGAGCGCCCCGACGCATTTAGTGCAAGCAACACTCGGGACCTATCTAATCCCTGACAGGCAGAACCCGCCATCAATAGCCAGGAGGAAGGGGACCGTCAGCGAACCTCCCATTTACACCACTACCCGATCGAGGCCTTACTCATTGCTGGGAAACCAGAGATAACCAGAGCGATAGATCCCCAGATACCCCTGGCGGGCTCGGACCCAGCACCCGATCTACTTCGTTTGCCCGTCAGACCCAACATCACTGCCAGGCCATCAGGGTTTCCCAAAAGGAGGCAGGTATAGAAGTGGGACCCACCCGGATGAACCTATCCACCAGAGGTGGCGACACCCTTAACTCAATTGAGGTTCCGGGAAGAACCCCCCACACTCAAGATAACCATACCGTCCGTGCTCAGAGACAGGGATTGGTTTGCATAAGTGCCTACAAACCGTTGCCCTCACACTGCGGAAAGTTACGTTGCCCTTGAGTGTCCCCGTGAGCTACGGGTACTTGCCCGTTTTCACCTCCAGGAAAGGTTACTTCCAAAGTCGAGGATTTGCCCACTGAATGCTGGTCGCACACAACAAGCAGGCCGAAGCCCAAAGAACCACAGACACAGGTAGGTTAGAGAATATGATGCACTTCCATCTCTCCTAGAGCTAAACACCCCTCCATCCTGGATAAGGAATGTCACTGGGACCCAATGCCCAGTCGTCCATGTCTGTGGCCTACTTGAAAATGCCGATACCAACACCGAGCATTTACCTCCCCTCTGGGGGCTAGGTATTTCACCTCCCAGGACGAGGCTACTTCCAAAGTCGAGGATATGCCTCACAAAATGTCAGTCGTACACAACAGGTAGGACTCAGTCACAACCACAACCATTAGACCATTAGACTGGTATTACCTCCCTACTACTAATACTGTTCCCTCCATGATAAAGTCTAAAATCAGTACTTAACTTTATCTAGACATATTGTCTAGACATATTGCTATTCAAGACATATTGTCTAAACTTTGTGAATAAAGAATATTTGATTGATTGATTGATTGATTGATTGATTGATAGCCTACTTTGCTATGCCATGAAACGGTCTACAATACAATTTTCTGTCTCCACATTATTCAACAAAATTCTAAGTAGCTATTTAACATTTCTCTGTTGAAATTCACTGACATATAACGTATAAGCTGGCTGTGAGGATTTGTGTTTTTTGTAATTTACATGTTTCGGCATCAGGTTCGGCTTTCCTACCCGCCACCTCTGCTCTGGGAGCAGGTCTGTACTCCATCTCTCTCTACGGAGGATTGTTGCTGTTCTCTGGCTTCTTGCTGTACGACACTCAACGCATTATTAGAGCGGCTGAGACTCATCCGATCAACGCCCCTGTCCCCTTTGACCCCGTCAATGCGTAAGTCCGTACTGTATTGAGGTGTAATGGGCGAGCTGCAATAGCATCCATCCAATGAAATAGCTGATCTTCTAATTTTTAAGGTTTTCTGTCCAAACTCCATGTTTTCCATTCTTTGAACTTTATAAAATATGATCACAATAATTTACAAACAATTTGAATGTGATAACTGGATAGAAAATACCTCAAGTATTTTAAGGAATATCATGCACAGTAATATTCAACATCAGCTAAACCAGTTTTATAACATTTGTTTCCAAATTTTGAAGGAATAAAAATTTTAGATCTATTTTATATCCAATAAAAGGATGCAATATGGTAGTTACAAAATGTAATTTTATTCAAAATTATATTGCCTACTGGTGGGGAGATACAAGTGCGGCTTTAAAAATTATTCTTTTACTAACACGCCAAAAAGGAGTAGCCCAATGTTTCAAGCTTAGAATTGTGCAAGTTCATTTCAAGGGTTTTAAGTACAAAATAATATTGTTAAGAAAATCGTTTTTTTTAGACACCACATAAAATGTTGATGATTAAGAGACTGTTCCCAGCTAAGTATATATTATAACTTGTAAAGTTTCACATTTGGCTTGGCCACATTTGAATGGCCATGTTTTGTAACAAATACCATATTGGAATTTGGCCATAATTCCTTTAGTTTTTTAGCCTAGAGTTTTTTATTGAAGTAATCATTTAGGTGGCCCCGCTTCATCCATTTAAACAATCTGTTCTGTCCAAAGTGTTCTCAATCCCAAATCTGGACTAAAACAATAAAATATTTTCCCCACTATTAATCTGTAAATAACAACTAATATGAAAAACAACTCTTTGAGAGTTTGAATGCATTAAAAAACTTATTGATGGTGTTTCAGGTCAATCTCGGTTTACATAGACACCCTCAACATTTTCATCAGGATACTGGCCATTTTGATGGGCAACGATAGGAAGAGGCGTTAGGTTTCATATCTTGGTTATTAATTTCAAACACGACAAATAAAAATAGATTAAAATTTTGCATTTTTGCATTTTCATGTTAAATTAAAGACACAATATTGTTTGTTTTATTTGTCTGTCTCATTTAATTTCAGAATACATTTTACTCTTAACAAATTATTTTTTTATGTATTGTAAACTGAGTTAAGATGAACGATTGAACGCTAATTTAATTTTATGTAAGCAAAGACTGTTGTAATATAGTTTTGTATATAGTGAGTTAAATAAATTAAAATAAAAAAAAAACAATTCTCTCTCTCCCGCTACTCAAATTTAATTTGAAATTGGGGTTTTCTGAATCTTGTGATGGGGATAATATATCATCTTATGCAAATTTATTAAATCCAACAAATTACTATAAACCAAATTCTTTAATATAAATAAATTTGCCAAGTTTGGAAAAAAAATATATCCATAAACAAGCAAACTACAACATTTTACAATATTATCCATAAGAATAACATGGGAATTTTAGATTTACAATTTTTTCGGAGACTGCGCAGACAACCGTTTTAGTCCCCTTGTTGTCGGGGGGCGTTGGAGTATAGTGCCTATTATCCATGTAAGCAACACGGGTGTGAATTTTTGTGTGCAACTGACTGCATGCGCATAACAATTCTATTTATCCAAACATCACCTGTATGTAAGTAAATCATCAAATGAAGTTTTATACATCAGGGAAGTAGTAGTGACTGTAAACAAATTCCATTCATCCACACTAAGGTCATCGAAAAGTGTGTAGTACAATGCTTTACTGACTTAAGTCCCTAGCATAGGGCGTTGTCAAAATCTGCAGATTCTCCACCTACATTTTTCAAGAGAAGGTGAAGAAGAAAAAGGAGCTCCGTACTGCTCAATACCATCTTTGACTTTTAAAGCGTGTGAATGAGTCCACGTAAAGCAGGATAGTGTTCGTCTAATAACCCTATTCTGAAGTTGCCTAAATGAGTTGTCCCAGCTAGTTGCTCACAGCTAATAGCAGCCTAATAGTCTATGCCACTACAAACACCAACTACTTAAACTATTAAGGGTTAATGTTTAAGTACACCATGTATAAAATATGCCTCATATAAGCAATCCAAGTAGAATATTTATAGGTAATGTAATAAGTCTTTCATCTGCAATGGGTTGTAAGGGTTTAATTAATTGATAGGCCTAAGTTCATTAAAAATTGCAATTTAATTACATTATCACATACAAAATAAATATAATGCCTATTACAACCTTCTTCAGCATTCAAGCGAGGGTTAAACTTTGGTATCTAGTTAATAAATAAATACTGTAAGATAATTAACAAAACACTTCATTAAAAGTAACAATATACACATATCTCAAAATATCGTCCAAAGTAATACAGTACAATACAAAAATGTTATGTGATTTCCATCTTATATTCTGTTAAAACATTTTGAATGGAAGGGTTTTATCAAATTCTGTTGGACCAAATAATAATATACTTAATTCAATTTAGTTACAGTTTGATAATTACAATACTAATTAATTATTTCATTTCTCAACGACAATTAGTTAACCTTATCTTGGTGTTTGGAATTGCTGATAGATTAACAATAGCCTCGATTACCTGAGGTTGTTTTTCAGACTTGTATATAAGGAACTAAAAGAGTTATTGACTATTTTTTTTTTAAGTGTTCTTTTTCACACAAACAGTATCAACAAATATACATGCAGTACACTAGGATTTACTTTCTCGATATATCTCCTCCATTTTCATTTTAATACAAAGTATCATTAAAATAATTTATTTCATGGAATGGTTAAAAGTGTTACACCCGAATGAGAATGGGTTTAGTGTAAATCCAGCTCATGAACTCTGCAAACTGTATTACAGGCAATGAAATAAAAAATATTTCCTAAGTATTTAGATTACAGTTTCTCACACTTGGGATTGCTAATTTTGAGTAAATATGTATCTGATAATACTGCATACTAAGATGGTTCCTAAAAGAATAAAAAATTAATAACAATACTAACCTGTTAAGGTTATGGCAGTATAGTGGTTTGGTGAGTAACAAAATCAAACTATATGAGTTTTAAACCTTGTGTTCCAAAACTTAAATCAAACCTCACAGTATTAGTACCAGGAAACTGTTTAAAACATTAAATAATTACCTTGTAAAATATAATTGGACAAATTTGTTGTTTAAAAAGTAAGGTGTTTGTTCAATTTACCAGTTCAATTCCACAAACAGTATACATCTGTCAGTCCTACTCAATGCGTTGGTGCTTGGTAGAAATGGATTCTTATACAGTAGACTCCCTCTCATCCGGACACCTTTTCAACGGACATCGGTTTAACCGGACTACACTCGGCGGAAAATGACATCTCTTTAACCGGAAAATTTGTATCACCACATCGTTTTAACTGGACTAGATCGGCAGGAAGTGGGCGAAACTGAAACAACTGTTCTCATGGGAAAATTTGAGACCAGTGATCACGTGTCTAAATACAATGCCCTCCTAAATTTAAGTCAAATACTGTATACAGTATGCTTTTAAACAGTACGTTTTAATGAGTTTTTGGGGACGTCAGTTTAACCGGAAAAAAACCGTTATCTGGACTGGCCTCGGTCCCGAGGAGTCCAGATAAGAGGGAGTCTACTGTACAAGGTTTCCCAGACCACCCGGCCAGCTTCTATAGCTCCGCTATGAAAGCAAATAGAAACCTAGACGTGTACATTTACAACAGCAAACACTTTGACACTTTAGGTATCCGGTATATATATAACCAATAAAGGTTCCAAAAACATTAAATGCAAAAATATTAGCTAATTTTAAGGGCTACAATGTGGTGTGTGTAAAACCCTTATTGCCACTTGAAATTTTTTAGATACATAACAGCTTTTGAAATTTATGAAAAGTTTGGAAATGTGTAACATAAGTAAAAGTTTAAGAAAAGGGTTGAAGAGTTTTTTTGAAAGCTCATTTAGAAAAAAAAAGTGTTATCAAAATTTCACCTCTTTGAAGGGAAAAGTAGTTCAAAGGTCTAATTTTTGTACGTTTTTAAACACCCTGTGAATAGGAATGAAAATAATTTAAAACTTTTCATTAAAATACTCAGGACCCAAATACCTTTAAAAAGAGGTGTAACACGACCCCCTTCCCCCCACCCCCAAATCTGCCCTTTTGATTGCTTTTTTGGGTTAAAAAATAATTTTGCTGAATTCCTTGGGGTCAAAATAGAGGTTCCAGTTGCAATCAGGTTTCTATGTGCTTTCATATCGGGGCTATATAAGCCGGTCGGGTGGTCTGGGAATGTCTGAATAATTATAGTCACATATTTTGTTTTAAGTTTTGCAATCCTTCCAGCAAATATGTTTTCTTAACATCAGCATCAACAACTTAAATTCAAAATAATTTATCGGATATTAGTTTTGGGAGTTTGGGAATGTAGACAAAGTTTTTTTTGATAGACATATCATTTACACTTTCAAGCTAAGTGGACTTGAGGTAGGTTTAAATCAGCCGGATTCAAACAATCAATAGTACCAAAGATGTCAAATACTTATAAGGTATTGAATCATACTAAGCATGAATTTGTCAGATGCAAACTTAGTTTCAGAGGTCTTAGAACTCAAATCGAATGTATTCTTTACTTCATAAACAACACTCATATACTAAATTAGTTAATATTCCATAATTAAAGGCAATAAAATAGTATACACAAAAACAGAACTTAAATTAGAGCTAAAACTTAATATTTGGAACAATTTCTCTATCACAAGACTTTTCATCAGTAGGCAATGCATTTCCTCTTTTACAATAATAATCACAAAATTAAGTACAATACTAATAAACTAGAGTAAAACGTTTCTTTCTCAACATTGTAAAAATTTACTAAAATCACAAAACAGTGCTATAGTACTATTTGAGTTAAAAATATTTTTCTGAATTAACCGGTATTGTAAACAGAGAATCATAGATTCATTGATTCAAGCATCTGCATTCTACAGGCTAAGATGTTTATATCGTCAAGCTAAGCCTAAAGCAAGTTGGTCTAATATCGAATTTATAATCATACAACCATCCCTGCAAAATTATTGCCAACTTTGAGCAAGTAAAAAGGATCAACTAACTAATGATATTATGAGAAATATACATCGGAGATCTATACATACCTAAGCCTCATTAATCATATAAACTACAATGTGTAAGCTACTATTTACAAACTATTTCTAACCTACAATGTGATTAATTTCAATCACAATAATTTACTGTGCAACTAGTTTGAAAATATTACAATTGACAAAAAAAATTACTGAGTTTTGTAATCAGGATTATATGTTCACCGGGAAAGGTTACAAAAAATAACCATACAGTATCTTAATTATTAATTGTGTGCTGTTGAATCCTTTAAAAATCTATTAAATGCTTATAAATGTGCGCAGCTTGATAAAACCAAACTTTAATTTGTTGAACACAACTATTTTAGTATACATTATAGGATTAAACGTAATTAATATAATAGAACATTACTCTTGACTAACTAAAATGTTTCATATGGAATAATGGAATGTATTTTTTGGTCTTTTCTGGAAAATATACTCACGTTTAGTCGTATTATTTTTACCCTTCACGTGTTTTATTATCTTTTATCTCAAAGAGATTATATGCTTGTAACATAGTAGTCATTTGTTAAACGTAAGCCTGGTAAAGGGAGTTAAAATTATGTTATATACTGTTTGTTTGTTTGAGATTTTTGCCGAAGCAATCTCGACACCTAGAAGCAATCGGTCCACCCGATGTAAAATATTCAGCTGGCAGGCCTATTAACATTGGTTATTTTTTGAGTTGGGAAAAACTTATATTTTTACTTTTTTTGGGATGAAACAAGACACATGTTATGTCAGATATTTTTAGCTTATTATTAATTAGTAAAAAAATTATTTTCTGATTATGTGGATGATTTTTATTGTCTGGTAAAAATATTGGTGGTAAAAAGCACTTGTGGTGTAATAATACAAATTTATCTACGTTGGTGGGAATTCTACAATATTCTTTGAGAAAAATTTCAATGAATGAGTAAACAATAACAACAGATCAAAAAGGACCAGTCTTTGGATAATCAGTTAAAATCAGATATGTTAAATCATACACTGAGGTGTGATTGGATATCACTATGTTGTTTCAAATAAGAAGCGTACATCTGTCGAGCCATGTTTAACACTTTGTTGACATCGTGTTTACGGACCATCTTATCGAAATGCATTGCCATTTCATTGTAGTCCATCCCAGTTCGCATAATTAGATCTCGATGTTGCAGCAAAACTGTAATGCAAAGAAACATAAGAAATGGATTACCACCTCCGAAAACGTCCGGGCGTGGAAGCAAATTACTCCCTTTCGCTTTAACGGAATCACTAATGTCAGAATTGAGATCGTCACAAGGCCTCGACACTGAGGAGACGTTTCCATTCACGTTTGTATTTATTTCTTCTAAAGTTTGTTTTCTCCGAGCCAGCAGACTCGAAGTTCCGTCACTGGACAGGCTGTTGTCCAAGGGACTTTCAGTTCTGGAAGAAGTAGTTGTATCACTCTCATGTTTTTTCAACAATCTAATTGGTGTAACAGATTTAACGGAACTTCCATCTGTTTCTATTATTTCCCCGACAGTCACGTCCATTTCTAGCTCTGTTTGTTCATCGGGCGTCGTAGCTGTTCTCAAAGGATTCTCCCACACAAACACCTCGTCTCCGAGCATTGGATTCCGTTTGTCGCTCCCAAACACGTGTCTGTCCAAACTCTCCAATTCCAACCTCAACTCTCTCGTCATAGAAGTTGTCATCGGAAAATACTCCGTCGAATCATCCGGAGAACTTCCGTCATCCTCGCTTTCTCGCTTTTTCTCAGCATTTGTGTTAACTTTTTTGAGTTTGCCACTCTTATCGAAACTGAGGAACTCGTTCAGGTTTTTAACTACACGGCCAGAAGGAGGCTTTTCAACTTCTTGTGTTTTCTCCAAAGCTGCCTCGTCAAGGCTGTTGAAAGGTCGTGTTTTTGGTTGTTTGGCGTGTTTGGCTTTTAAGCTAATGCCTTCATCGAGACTGAGTGATGCCCCGGAAGTTTGTCGTCGCAGAGCGCAGATCTTTGTGTAAGCGTTCTCCCTAGGTCGAGGACTCGGAGGAGGGGGAGTTCCGAGAAACTCCTGATCAAACAGTTTGATCTCCTTCTCTGGAGGCGAAGGTGGCAGAGAACTCCACATCACTTCCAGCATCCTCAACGCATCTTCAAACGCAAACTCTCGCTTCATTTCAAGCAGCAGCCAACGGTAGCAGAAAAGCAGATCGTCAGCCTAATGGAAAAATAAATAACTCAAGTAAACATTTTACATTAACCTTTTTAAAATGACAGATGATTTTTTTACTATGACACCACAGAATATTAATAAAAGTTACAAATGATGTACTGTAAAGTCTGTTTATGGAAGAACATTTCAGTTGGAGACAATAGTCTGGAGGGTCTGGAATTAAAGAATGTTGTACACAGTTACTTTTGGTATTGAAATACAAAAAAAAGTTAAAACACTTTAGAATATTTTTATACACTTTTTGGAAAGTAAGCAACTAAATAATAGCAATATCTGTAAAATTCTTGTTCATATATGACAAACAAGATATATCACTGAAAAAGTGATTTCCTTGTACATTTTGCTGTTTGCAGATAGTGACATGAAGATTGTATATCAGACATGATTAAAAAGTAGCTTCTAAATAAATTTAGTCAAACGTATAAAAATATGTTACATCGACAAATTTTCTTATTATATGCAACAATTTCTTCTTTTTGCAGACCTGAAGAAGTGTTAAAGGGTCCTTTTAATCTGGCCCAGATAGGCCTACTGAAGTTCAGATGAATTTAAACTTCTTTAAGAATTGATCTTTTGTAAAAAAAAAAAAATTGTATCCATTAATCGATCTTTCAAGTTGAATGGCTTTTAGAAGCAGTTTTCAGCTGTTTTTGTAAAGTTATGCTCACATAGGTAGAATTGACAGTGCAAAGTTTGGGTACGTTACTATCTGGTGTCTATAGCCAATATAACAGCTTTTATATGTTACTGTAGGGATGCAAAGTGTGAAAATATCATAAAAAAAATTAAATTTAGACATTTACCATTGTTGTTGTGTTCTTTAAAACCCATCATGCAGACAAGTTTTCGTTCTGAACTTTTATCCTGAAAGTGTGTTAGGCCTAGTGATTTAGATTGTTAAAGTTTAAACAGTTTATTTTAACTGCAGATAGTTTACTTCTCCCATGATTTGCAAAATTTACCATTTTAAATTATTGCCAGAACTACTCATCAAAAATAAAATACCTGATGTGATTTGAGGTATGAGTAGAAAGCGTTGTCGTAATACATAAGGCCCTCCGCTAGATGTTGAAACCTCTGAGTCATAGTGATACCGTCGAGCAGAAAGTTGGGAGCGAGTCGTCTCATCAGCGCACAGAAACAGATGTACGCTTGAGCCTCGTCATTCATCGTGACTAACAGCGGAGACGCAAGATCTGACATGCCTTGACAGTAGCTGACGGCCGGGTGATTGAGAGCGTACCTGCAAAGTAAACAATTTATAAGAATAGTTTAAACTGTGAAAACATTCCACATTTTGTACTGGGTTTGATGTAAATAATTATAGTAAAACAAACGTTGGGTACCTCAGGAATATTTGAGAGACTAAGTAGCTTAGATTTGGTCAATCTTTATTCTTTAGGTGTAATCTGAATAAAATTGCTACCTAATCAGCATATTAAATTTAGATTAACAGGCTTATATGTGAAAAAAATACAAGAGTCAATAAACACTAGTTGACACTCACAAGAAAACATGTCCGGGAAGAGGGAGTCTACTGTATGAGATAAAGAGAAAGTATGGTTGTCTTTAGGCCTGGCCTAATGGTCTAAATAATTATTAGAATAAATTTGGGCTGGACCCACAAAAAATAATAAATATGGACTTTTCCCATAAATAATTTTAATGTAAAATGATAATAAGTTGTACTGCCTGATACCCTCAAGTTTACTAAAAATTACATTCAAAAATAAAATCAGACAATATACAGTAAAGTAAAGCGCGCTTACGTTGTTAAAATATTGAAGAGAGCAGCTATGTTTTTGTTGTCATCACTTCCTGCGTAAAACACATGGTGTCTGTCTGTTCGCAGAACATCCTTGCGTACCATACTGGTGACATAAGCCAAGTCTCCTACCATCTGGAACATTGATATGACACTTTTACAATCATGTATTTAGTCGCTAGTCTTAAAACTTGAAAGGAATCAGAGTCGACACATCTTACGGGGTGTGCTTTATGCCATACAGTAGTTAGACTTCAATATAGTGTGCACAAACGCTGAACAGAAGTTTAAAAGTACTGGTTTTGTGAATAGAAGAGTCACAGAGGTTCTGACATGGAAACATAAATCACTCATGGAAAGAATCAACATCACATCAACTATTTAAAAAATATATATCATCCTGTACGAAACAACTAGATTGAGCTATGAATTGAACCTCTAAAACAAAGAGTGTTACCAACCTGGCCATTTTTCAGCATTTCTCTCCAGGTATCTCTAAGTTTCTCGTATTCTGCAGATTTTCTTTTCATGTAGTCCATTCGTTCTTTTCCTGACATACCTTCTGGGTAGACATTTAAAATGTGCTTCCAGATAACCTTCCTGGAAAAAACTCACAATTAAATTTAACAAGGATGTAGTCTTAAATCTTTGTGAGTTCAATCATAGTCATGTCTGTATTTCCCCCCAATTAAAATCCAATCACATGATTGGATGAGGGAAAATAGTTTCATAATAAACTCAATGTAACGATACAAAAATTATAGACAACAGTTTTTCATATTGAAGCCTGGGTGCTCGTATTTTTGAAAAACCTAGACATATGAAATTAATATGCTTCATTAGGTTGCTCAGTTGATCAAGTAAGCAGTGGTTGTATTAGTAGTCTAGGGATTTATCACTGTACAATACCTGAGACTCGGTTCAATTCCTCCGAAATAAATTACTGCTCTTAGTTCCTTATCTCGCACCACTTGTCCGATCGGGTCTAGGAATGTGCGGAACTCAGCGTCCGTGAGTGGAGGGCGGGGAGGGATACTGCTAGGGGCAGGTGCAAACGACGCTGTTTGTTCTTCAACCAAGTTCAACGCCCTCTGTACCATGTTAAAAGTCCTCTCAACCTAAAAAAGTTACAGGTAAATCAAGAATTTGTATGTTCTTTTGTAAATAATAACTTCCAATCTTTGTGTATTTTACTAGATAGAAACAAATTATTTTCCTTGGGAGATTCAGGAGATCTGTTAGATAGCCTCTTTAGTTGTGGTTTCATTTACAGTTTTAGTTAGCCTATGGGTATGGTTGTTTGGTAGTTATTTATTATTTTTCAAACTATTATATCTACTATAATCAACTACCAGTAGTGTGAAATTAATTTAATCAACATTTTGATATTAATTATAATGTACAAAAACATATTTTTTTAAAGGCACAAACATTTATTAGCTGTATAGCACACAGCCACCTCATGGGCTTTGGATGGGTCACAGAGCACAATGGGAGTGTTTTGTGACCTATCCAAGGCATTTGACTGTGTCAACCATGATGTACTTTTAAAAAAGCTAAAAATTTATAACTTTTCAAAAGAATCTGTTTTATGGTTGACTTCATTCTTGACAAATCGATTTCAAAGAACAGTAATTTTTAAAAATAATGAAAAATCAATATCAGAATGGGAAAAAATTACAGTTGGTGTTCCCCAAGGGTCAATTCTCGGACCTTTACTCTTTATTTTATATATAAATGACTTGCCTAAAAATGTTTCAAACAACCTTGTTTTATATGCCGACGATACAACTGCAGTTGTCAAATCTAAAAATGATTCAGAACTATCTCTCAAAGTTAAACAAGCCCTATCGGAATTGGAACGGTGGTTCAATATTAACGGTTTAAAAATGAATCAAGAGAAAACCCAATTGGTAAAGTTTTATACTGCTCAGGCAAGAGAGTTTAGTGACCAAAATTTATGTGTTCAAGATGATGCAAAATTTCTCAAAATTGTACGTAGACTCAAATTTAAATTGGAACAAAAGCATTGAAAATTTGATTAGTAGACTGAATTCGGCATGTTATCAAATGATATGTTTAAGAAACACAATTGACTTAAAAACTCGTTTGATGTTATATTATGCATACTTCTATTCGATTCTTCAGTATGGAATTGAATTCTGGGGCTTTGCATCAAACATCGATTTAATTTTTAAGATACAGAAAAGGTTTTTAAGAATAATGATATTTGCACCTTGGAGAACATCATGTAAACCTATTTTTAAAGAATTAGGGATAATGACTGTTCCGAGTTTAACTATTTTTAAAACACTTTTGATGGTGGAGGGAAATTTTGAAAAATTATGTACGGTAGTGAAAATGTCGAGCACAAGTACGATACTAGGTTTAAATATAATTTTCAATATCCGCGGCACCGTCTTTCATTAGTAGAAAAAACTCCGACATACATGGGCAAAAAATTGTTTAATAAATTGTCTCAAGAGCTCAAAAACAGAATACAGTCTAAGCATTTCAAGAGCAGCCTTACTAATTTTCTTTTAAGGAAAACATATTATAGTATAGATGAGTTTTTATGTGATCAAGATGTGTAATTATTTCGTATTTTAAATGCAATGTTTTAATTTATCTATTTTGTCTACAACAATTATTTCTATTTTCATAGCGTTAGTTTATTTTTTTCTTTTATAACTCCTTAGTTTTAAGGTATTTGTATACTGTATTGACAATGTCACCTGTTTTATAGCATTGCTATATTTTGTAAACGTTATGTGACAATAAAGATTTATTTATTTATTTATAGCTCAGTGGTCAGTGCTCGCCTAGTAATCAAAAGGTTGCCAGTTGGTCACTGGACTTTCAATAAATGGTCCTGACTAATGAAACAGCTGGTCTTAGTCAGTAACAATACACAAGGCATCACACACTCCATTATAACACTCATCCTTCACCCATATTTGGGTTAAAAACGCACATAGGTGGCATCCCCATCTCAAATCAATATGAATATGAACATTTTGGGAGCTAAGCCTGCCTGACATCTCCCACTTCGTCAGTAAATCTCGTTTTCTAGTATGAATTTATAGATGGTACAATAACATTTTGTAAAAAACACATGCATAACAATGTTTTATACACACTATAGACATTTTGGAAACCTGAGCCTAAAGACGAAGGTCACCTGATAAGTTACCCACACTGAGGAAGGATACAACTCACTTAGTCCTTATCTGGTGACATTGCCCTTGGCCAGGCGAGGACAGCTGATAATGGTTCTCCTAGTTTGTGCTATCCTCAACCTTATCAACCAATAAACTGAGACCAATGTTATATATTTTCTCATATAGAACACCATAGAGATGTTTATATTTTATTGTTAGTCTTTGATTCTTTGAAGAAAAAGACAATTAGCAATAAATATCCCTGCCACAGCAAACCTGGAGACTAAAGGAATTCCCATTTGCCTGAAATATTTTATTTCCTTAACATGTCAGACTTATTCCCAAACAAAATGGCATTATGTTTAATTTCTTTGTACAACCCACAGCCTTTTTTTTAAGAAAAACCTATTAGAGATCAACAATGACACAAGGATTGAGAAGGAGATATTGTATCCTTGTTTCAATAACATTACAGAGATAATGAACCAAACGTTCGACTTTACTCACGTGGTTCATGATAAGTCCCTGTAGTCGAGTCTGTCTGCTCTCGGCTGGTAGAGGTTCTGGGTTGGAACTCTCTACCCAACATTCCTCACACTCACGGGACTCTGAGAACGGCTTTAAGTCCACACGAAGGTCTAGATGAGGCTCCGATGAGCTGCGATACCATAGGATATGTGAGAGCAATACATATTGTTAAAGTTATGCACTGCTTTTATTCACTTTTTTTACCTGAGTTCTACAACAAATTTAGTTCTTTTACAAACTCCTACTGAGGTTGTGTAATTTAAAAGTACAATAACTAGGGAAATATGATTTGTTTTTTCTACAAATTGTTGATTGCTCCAATTATTATGCTAACTATCAACGTATCCTTTTCAAATGGCAATTGGTAAGGCAGAGACTGGCACTCCAGGGCCGTATTTCCCAAACGGTGGTTGCCAGGGACCTCACTTCCCCTCAAAGGAATCTTTTTTTCTAGTGAAAATTAATTTCACAGATGATGAGGTAGGGGGATTAAATTTGGAGCGCAACTTTTTCACGATTGACAAAAGCGTCTACGAAGATTGCACGATCCAAATCACAATTTTGCCAAGATTACGTGACACGATCATGAAGTTACCAACAGCTAAATATATTCACGATTACCCCACGAACACTAGAGAAGTTCATGATTTCGCCATACTCGCGGAAGATAAAAATTACTTCCCAAATGCGGAAGATGATCTCTATTTCGTCGTGACTGCAGGAAATAGGTCAGTTCATGATTCCTTCACGATAGCAGAAGTTCACTATTTCACTGCAACCGCAGGGGGCGCTCACCATTTTCCACGTGCCCAAGGACAATGGTGTCCATTTTCAATTTAGTTCTTTGTTAGCGATTTTGCCAAGTTTGACCTGATCATTGTATAACAATTAATTTTTTTTTTTTAATTCTGAAGAAACCCACTTTGGCCCAAACTGATTTTGTTCCGAGATCTTAAGGTCAACCTTTTTTAATACAACCCGAAGTAAAAGGTTTTGGCCTGAAGAACCTTAATAATATTATAAAAAAATTAAATGGAATTATTTACTAGCTATTATTGTAGGACTATTCACTGATTAAATCTTAGAAAACAAAGGGTTAAGATCGTCACATAGAAGCAATACTACGTGTATTTCTAAACCTTCTAAGCTCCAGCGCTTGAAGAATCAGAATAGGTGTGAGCCCCTGGGAACCTCATGGATCGGATTCTAAATACGGCCCTGCTGCCGCTGACCCATTGCCTTATTTACATTATTCATTGCTAGGAGTTATTTGTAGCATTGATTGGGATTTAAAATCTGCCCACTTAAGGTATTACAGCCTTTTAAAAAGGAACTCCATAACCCTCCACTTACTACGTAAGCTGATCAATAAAGTGCTTTTTGAAGGCAAGTTTATTCAAATATTTTAATTTGAAATTGCCAATCATCTCACCTGAGAAATGCCGCATCCAAGTCCCAGTCCGACAACAATGAAATGTAAGTTTCTTGTTTATAGTCATCAACCACTCTATACCTCACAGTAAAGTCGCTGGAATAATAAATGTAACTTTGGTTATGAATTAATAAACTATAACTTACTTGAAGAAGGGATATTTGCAAAACTTTGTCGAAAGTCATGTGAGAGAAACATGTAGCCCACCATAACCAAACAAATATCCCCAACCGCAGCCAATTAATACAGAACCTTATAAGAAGTGAAACCATCATATTAAAAAAGGCGACACTACGAAGATTGCCACTAGCACGAAGATTTGCCAGTTCACGAAGACTTGGATGGCGACACTAGCACTTCCTACATAAATCTTTGTGAGCTACCGCTAGCGGGAATCTTCGTAGCGTCGCCTCTTTTAATATGGCAGTTTCGCTTTTTATAAGGTTCTCTATCGATTGCTGCAGCTAAGCTGCAGACTGAGCAAATAATTAAAATTTGTCTGACTGGATTTTAAGGACAAAAATTGAAAAAAAAATTTTTGAATACAATGAAATAATTCCACAACTCCCCGTTCCCATGACCCAAATTTGCTTGTTTGTGAACTCAATCAAGTTTATCCAGCTCTCGCTAAATTTTCACCAAAATTACTCAAGTTAACGTTTTTAATGACACTCAAAAAATTGTTTAACGAATACTGGTAATGTTTTTTGGCCTCTGGGGATATTAAAATAAAAAAGTAAATCAGTTTTAGGTCTAGGTCTATGCCGCCTACGGTAATAGCCCTTTCCGAAATACGCTAATAGAACAAAAAATATTTTTAGTAGCCTATTTTTTAAACAAAAATATCTTAATGTAGAAACTGTTTTAGGCCTATGGACTAAAATTAAAAACAATAAAAACTGTAGTCCTATTTCAGTACTAACAATCTTGTGATTCTTAAGGCTGTATATAAAAGAATTAAATAGGTTAGGCATTGTATTTGTTTGGCAAAGAGACCTTTGCCAATTGAACCTTGAATCAATTGATGTGCATACCTTTCAATATTATTACACACAATATTTGATCTCCATTTTCTCCATGGATCAATACAAATTTACCTTGATCTTTCAGATTAGCTTTGTTAGGTATTTGTTTAGCTTGAATACTCCCACCAACTTAACTTAACTTTAAATTTAACACACTTACCCTTTAATATCGAATGCTTTTGCTAGAATACTTTGCAGCACTTCAAATGAAGTGATTTGAGGGTCTACACTGAACTTCCTATACTCCGGAGGCAATACACCTTCACATTTCTGCAAAAGAAAAGAATTGTGACAAAGAACCTAGACCTATCTGATGAAAACCTAAAATTTTAAGTCATTTAGATTATACATTTACAGTTTCAAAAAATAGTTAGGCCAAACAGTCTAGTAACTTGAGTGTTTATTGTATGTAGCTCACTATGTAACGGCCCAGTATTACAACTACAAGACTAATGCAAACTAAACTTCTGCCAGGGTTACATTTTTAAAATAAGCAGATTACATATTGTTCAAGTAGGGCCTAGAATAAGTGCATGTATGAATGTGTGTACTTTTAGACTTTTTGAGTGAAAAGTAATATGTTTTTCAATCAACACTCTTTAGCAGAACAAGACTAGGCCTACGGTGAATATAAATCAAAGTCATAGTGTTTCCCTATCCCGCTTTAAGATAATGGAAAATCCTGTTTTATTCCACCTTGAGTTTTCCTGTTCTATCCAAAAAGAACTTTTTGACATATCTTGTTCAAAAATAGCTCTTTAAACTTTGCTACTTTGGAAAACAGCAAAATACAGAAAATTAAGCGTCATGGCCAAAAATCCTGTATCATCCCGCATTCCGTTAGAGCTTATAGTCTAAACCTTTGGCTATCCTGTGTATGGAAACACTGATTCAAATAACTACCTAATAGACTGAGGATGGCGCCACTTTTTAGCAGAAAGTAGTTGCGAAGTGCTAATAATCCATAGTCACAGACTGCAGTCCTTATGACTTTTAACCAGGTACTTAACGGTAGGCCTACTATCCTGTTACAGGGAACATTAATTATTATCGATGATTTCTTTTCGATATATAGATATTTTATTTTTTGATCCTAAATTGATATGAACGTACTGAAACATTTATTTAAATAAGATAACTATGGATTTACTTGATAAAGACAAAGGCAGACTTACCATCACTTTTACTCTTACTGCTTCTCTTCTGTAGCCAAATGGACTTGAAGTGTTTGCCATTTTGTCTTTATTCTTTTCCTGGGTGCATTAGGCTAATATTGGTGTGTATGCAATTTGAATGCAAGTAATAAAATCTAAAACCCAGATCAATATCTCTAGGATAAAACATCATGGAAAGAATTCCAAGACAGTTATCTGCAATAATTATAACAACTATGAATGCTTAGACCAAGATATACACAGCTGTATTGTTAGAAAATATACTAGATACGTGTACTAAAAAGACATCAACAGACTTGGAAATTACACTTTCAAGAAACAATTTGTACTTTACACACTCAAAGTTTAAATCGGCCAAATATTAATTCATACACATACCTACATTTTAACTGTTAAACACAGAATTACCTGTAGAGAAACAAAATCATTATTTAAATTTATTTTAACCTATGAGTTCTGAAAGCATCCATGACTGACTGACAGAGAAAACTCTATAAATGAAGAAACTGACGTTTCTGATTAGTTGTAGCTGCAGACTAGTAACAGAATTGTCTGCTATAATTCACAGCTGATATACAGATTACAGTAATTCGCCAGACAATTAGGAGAGACAGACCGAAATTAAAAGCTCTGTAATACTATATAAAACTAATTTACCAAGCTCTCGCTTACGAGAGCCCTGAACAAATATCTACTCTTCATCCAGAAAATATGTTTATTGTGTAAAGAATCAAAATATATTGACCTCTAAACAATGAATTGACTATATCATGTAAAATGACAATCAAGTTTCAAGATTGTCATGTTTCTGTGAATAATAATGAGGAGGCAATGGTTTTTAAATTTCGTATTATGGTAACTAAACATGCTGTAATCAATCTAAATCCAAGTGAAATGTACAAGTGGCTCATTACTACAGTTGTCTATTTTATAGTCATATATTATTTTACAAAGGCAATTTTCATTATTGCAAACATGTTAGTTGATACATAGCCCCCTCTAGTTGCAGTGAGGGAGTATATTATTAATCTATGATGACAGTCACTGTAAAAACAGTTGGTTCTTTGGGCCATTTCATAAGAAAGTATAAAGAAAGTATAAAGTATAAGGTAGTGGTTCTCTTTCATTTTGTAGGTTTAACCATTGACTATTGTATTAGTAGTCAAAGGTTTAACCATAGACTAACCAACACAAGTAGACTTTTCATCCCATTGTAAATTTTGAAGCACGTTTTTCGTGTCTAGTTCATGTACGTGACACAAAGGCACTAGTGTCGATGAAACTTTGTTTCCATTATTTTAGGGTTAATTTCTTGATTTGTGCTTTACTGTTTGCAGGGGTGCCCACAAGGGGGGGCCGTGACGCAGACTGCGTCATTGAAATTCTTGGGGGGGGGCTCAAAAAATTCAAATGGGGGGGGGGGGCTAAAGTTAATTGCAACAGTGTTCAACGTGACGACAATCCAAAATACATTACTAAATCGCCAGATAGAAAGTGGATAATTAATGACAATAGTTATATTATTGAATTAAATTAGTTAAAATAGGATTTTAGGATAGTTTAGGATTCGTGTAGAAAGTTATTATTTAAGATTAGCAAGACGTGATATCTAAGAGAGGGAGCGCACGGGATGGCTCAACTGCTGTGATAGATAAAAGATAACGCGGGGTACAGACACATCCAGCTACACCGCGACTTAAGCACAGCAGAACGCTTTGTTGACATAAAGCTCGTTAAAATACAATCAAGTAGCAAGTAGCATAGGCTACAATACTTTACACTATTGTGTATACTCGATTACCTGAGTTAATAGGGAGGGGGGGAATGAAAAATACGGTTAATCCAATATAGTATAAAAACAGACGACAAACTCATTAAAACGCTGTAAACAGCCATTAAGTCACGATTTACATTTTTATAAACGAAATTCAATATTGCACAATCATTATTATTGTAAATTTCAAATTATTTATCTTGGTTCAGTTGTACAAACGGCAACGTTTAAAATTGTAGCTAACTCAAACTCAACTAATCACTGTTCGTAATTTCATATATGACGTGTTCTCTTAACAGATTATTAGTATTTCATAAATTAATGACGTATGTAGTAAACATGGAGAAAATAAACTAGAAAAATCACACAAAATTGTATTTTTGATCGTCCGTTATTTTATTTCCAAAATAGTTAGGCCATATTTTAATGGCTATAAGGACTCTCTCGCCAATCCTGTGGATACAATTAAACCATTAGAATCATAATCGGTACTCTAGTTTCTCTAGTTTTCTTTAGAGTATGCCATGAGTAGGCTGCATAAAATGCCTTCTGGGCCGTGACAGACGGACATAAATGGAGATAAGACATGTTTAAACTTCTTCAATGCATAAAACAAATAACCCAAAATATGTATAATTCTGAGCAATGTAAAGACAAAACTATAACTTTATTGATATAGATTAACTGGGTTTGAATTTTAAATATAAAAAAAAATATAAAACTTCTTTTATAGTTTTACAAATAGTGCTGGGCGGGGGAATAATGTTTCTCATTTGTTGTGTACATCATTTATGGGGGGGGGGGCTGTTGCTCAATTGGGGGGGGGGTGCGTCATGAGTCTAGGGGGGGATGGGCACCCCTGCTGTTTGGTTATATAACCAGGGGACAAGTTATTGTTTATGGAGTAAGGGAGTATGTTTTATCTATGGTTTAACCATAGATAAAACATACTCCCTTAGGTTTAACCCAGTCCCATTAAAAATGTTTGGTTTCTATAAATTAATTTTCTTGGGTGGTAAATCTATAACCCCACATTCGTATCATTTCTCCATTTGCAAAAATATGAAGTAAGTATATAGGTAATTCACTTTTTTTCCATCGAATCGCTAAATTAATTAGAATTCGTTGACCATACCCTAACTCAATGGCAATTTTAAAAATTTAACTTTAGGAGAATTAGGCTGAAATCCTGTTATAATGAAACAGCTGATCAGCTGATGTTTATTTTCCATTTTAGCAACAAAACATAGCAATAGCAGACGGTTTCCAAATCCAAATTTTTCTAAGTGTCAAAGTGTTTACACCGCACATTAAAACCCTTTTGTTCGAATAATGTTTTTCTCGCGATTAAATTAGTTCGTTCTATGGCTTCATTGACTAATAATATTAAAAAAATACTTCAGTTAAAGGCTAAAAGTTTGTTACTCAAACACTCTTTAATTGTTTAGCCCATATTATTTACCGGGTTTAACATAACCTCAAACATTGCATTTATATCCACGATTACGCCTAAACAATACAAAAATGATAGGACAAGTATTAGTTACGTTTCAAAAGTTATTGGAGATGCTGCCTGGGAAAAACGTTTCCCTAGGAAGATCCCATAAGGTGAGTCTTAACACTGTTTTTAAATAGGTAATTAATAGGCTAAACTTAATAAGTTTGGCCTATTCTTTACTTAGGACCTAGGTTGTTGAAGCACTCTCAAAGTTGACTCCTGTCTTGTCTTGGTTCCTCTTGCAACCAAAGTTACTTTAATTATATGCTTCAAAAAATTACTAACACACTGCATGGATCCCCTTAAAAGCAAGTCCTTCAGACTTTTCATCGATCACAATATAAAAGATATTATTCTAAAACAGTTATTATTGTCAAGTGATTCCAAATATAATATGTATAGAGCACTTAAAGATGTCATACCTACACTGAAAATACATTTTTAATTAATGTGTTTGCAGATAGTTATTATCTCTCTCAGCAGCATTGCAGCACTGGGCCTACTGGCAAAATACCTTCGCAGGAGACGTTACATTTTCAAGAAAGCCCCATTGAAGAGTGCCACTAAACCTAGAATGAATGTTAATGAAGGTAAGCCAGTCCAGTCATCCATAAAATCAATTTTTATTTGGTGTTTATTTACCTATACAATTGGAAGTTTGTATCCTATGGGAAATACTAGAATAATATATGAAAAAGTACCTGGACATTCACTGATAGCCTATACCTATTTTAACAATGCTCAATAAAAGCCTTATGATTATTGTTCATCAATATCATGGATAGTTGCCCATTTACACATTGGAAGACAGACAGTTTTCTTACCGTTAGTACAGCCACCAAAAGCGCTAGGTACAGTTTGGCCAAAACTTCTGTGCCCGTGGACGGGTCGCTACCAGCTCAACATACGGGCACCGGCTATTGGCAGTGCTGGGAGTAGTGGTGAGTGAGTAGCAAGACACAAATGTTTTCACAAAAGTACCCCCACGAACCCCCTCAACTAGACCCAATCAGATCGGGTCGAGCACACAGAAACTTTGGCCGAACTATAAACCAGAAAATTTAAGAGATATTACCTCAAATCACAGATAGAGCTACTGAAGGTTAGTAACAACAAGCAAGTTAAATTTAGTGGTATATAAAATTGAGTAGGAGTAATCAAAGTATACTATATTCTGCGTAACTTACTATGCTTCTGTGAATCTATGTGTGTATGTGTTTTTATGATAGATGGGACTAGCCAGGCCAGTACTAGGCGCAGTGGCAGCCCCAGTGTCCGCAGTCTACATCGTCAAGGTTCGCTGTTGTCTGGTGCGTCTGACAGAATGTCCGCTGCGTCAGGTTCACTCCCGGGTGTCGCTCCTGGGGATACTACACTCTTGTCACCACAGCAGCTCGGCGTTATGGGTGAGTCGATTTTCTCTTTTCTATGTTAAAGTAAATTTACCATATAAACGTTTGTGTCGCCAACCCAAACCAGCTGCGGCAAGATCAAATAAGCAAAACCATCGACTGTTGTTCCTTTGGCATACTTGTACGATGCTTTTGATTGTTTATAATGCAAAGTCAGTAGGTACTGAAGGAAAAGTATTGATCCTGAGACGTTAAAATGTTGGTACTGGTACCAACAGGTCATGGTGAAATTTTCTGACCATCATGACTCCTACATAATGGATGGAGAAGGTGGCTGTCAATAAAGTTTTTCCATTGTGGCTTTTAAAGTGGCCTGCCATCTTCAAGTGGATAATCCATCAATGTTATTGAACATATTTGGGTCATTTTTAAGCAAGGGCTGTTTGTGCGTACAGCTTCTTAGTTCACATGTAAGCCAAAACGAGGCTCCTCACCTCTTCCTAGTAGGCTATCATTTGTGAACAGGAAGGAGCCATTTGCAGCTCTGTAGTTGACAATTACTATTTGCTGTGTGTTTGAACAATTTTACAAATTATTGAATCTCCCTCCGCGTGAGGTAAGGCCAGTGATACAATTTGTTAACACAGGATCATATCCAATGCTGACATTCATCGCCAAGTCAGATGACAAAAGGTTATGGCCCTAATGCAACGAGTGAGGGAATGCATTCGGGATGTAAAAATGTTTGTAGAACCTTTTTACTTTGTGTTCTCTGTGAAAAGCCTGGGTTCTCGCCAAAATCACAATTCCTTCCGAAATAGACACTATCCATTTAAAAACTCCTTAGCCCGTGTCTGCACTTAACCTAAACTCAGTGTTCCATAACCTTAAATCATCTGGCAATGAATGCCTGTATCTAATATCATTTTTTTTTGTTTTTTGCCTCCTGATCACAATATAAATTACTACTAGAGGATATGTTTCTTACAGTCAAAAAACATATCACTGACCTTATTTTGGATGCGGTGAGAGATTCAATGACTTTAAACATTTTCTGGCACATAGCAAAGTGTACACACCAGCTAAAGAACTGCAAATGGCATCATTGTGTGCACAAATTATGCCGATGCGGAGAGGATGACCAATGGTGAATCTGTGAGGAGCCTCATTGCAGCGCACATGTGAACAAGGAATCTATTTGTAGAAACGCCCCTTACCTAAAAAACTACCTGCTGAATTGACTTTCTCCGCTATGAAGACACTGTCTCAAATCCCATAAAAAACAGTCACAGTAACACTTCCACAATGATAGGCCTAACTAAAATATAAGATAAAAGCGTTACTTGTCCAATCAGTCACAGTTCTCTGTTTACGCTGTGACAGTGAAGTGAGGAATACAAGATTGGTAATGAACAAGTGGAGTTGACAATATGACTAACCGAGTATGCTTAAACGAAAAGAATGTGTGCTTATAGCCTTGCTGTTTTGTGATTTTACATAAGTGGCGAAAGGAATCATCTCCATGTATCTACAATGGTGTACAGTCAAGTCACATGGAAATAGCTCACAATTTTACATTACTCAATTAGGGTGGTTCGGATAACATGGATGGCTGGATAACCAATTAATCACGGCACTCGGCAATGATTTTTAAATCCTTACTTGATTGCAGTCCGATCTTGATAATCCGATATTTGTAAGTTCGACATGATGGTAACACATAAAGCTTGTGAAGACCATATTTCAGATATAATGTAACGTGGATATCGGACCTGTTGCTAGGGGGAAAATGTTTACTTTACAGTACAGTAGTAAGTAACCGGTACTTCTTCTAGGCTGATTAACGTTTACTGCTTTTTATATCTTGTGAGTCGTGAGTTATGTTTTAGTTTTTTATTAAGTACTATATTGTACGTAGGCTAAGCTAAAAATATTGTAAATACCTTTGATGATTGTATGTTGTTATGCCTTGCATCTAAAAAAATAGTGAATTTAAAAATGCACATTTCATTCTGATTATGGGTGGTATAAAGTATCATTCTTTAATTACTTTGAAATGGCGACCATACAAATGTAGGTATTTTAAGCCAAGTATGAATGGAGATAAGTGTAGGATGAGTAGCGTGATCTTGTAGTCTTGTTAGTGACTAAGGCCGACATATTCCTTAGACAGAACTGTTAATTAAAAGCCCATACAGCCAATGGCAACTAAAGAATCTACAGTTTATAGTGGAATGCGAACCACATTTTTGCCTTGTAATTTCTTGCCGCTAGGATTCTTTGGAGATCGGTTATGACCTAATGGTCTTGGTTGTGTAGTGGTGAAAAGTAGCCTCTAGATCACTAAATTTAACTTTATGGTTTGTGTTACCTGTCTTCGTTAAGAGATGGTTTTTTTTTCAGTAGTACACCACAATAGTTTTGGACATCTATACGAGTCCATTATCAGGTGAAACAAAAACTTCAATCAAGTCATCTAATCGATTTGGCTAGCTCTGTCGTTTAAATTGAGAACACATTCACTCGAACACGACAAAATCACGGAAAAAGATTAGAAAACTACAAAAACTGGAGAGACGTGTGTGGCGACACCATGTTTGTTTTTTTAAGCTCTACAAAATGGTTTGGAAAGAAATTGCTAAATTTCATGTTTTCTGGGTCAAAAATGGGAAAACCAAATTTCACCCTATAAAACCCCCATAAACCCCCGTTCCCATAGTCCGATCATGCTGGTTCGCAAACTCGTTCAAATAAATTAGGTTTATACCAAATTTCATTAAAATGGGATCATAACGTGCTAACGGACATATACATAAATTTATATATATATATGAATTTTAACGGATGGTGTTTTTGGCCTCTAGGGACCTCAAAAGAAAAAAGTTAATCGATCCTGGGTCCAGGTCTTACCATGAGTACTTTGGTAATAGCTTATTTCCTATATGGGAAATTTTCTAAAATGGTTAGGTTCTGGAATTTTTATGAAATTGTTTGGAAAAATATATTCTCGATCTTTGCGTGGACTTACACCACCGGAAGACGATGATGTCTCTAGGATCGTGGGAGATGATCACGATTTTGCGGCAATTGCAGAAGTAGATGATGTTTCTGAGATCGCTAAATACAAGCATTTATAAATTCGCCACATTCGAGGGGGCTGTTCACAATTTCTACTGTAGGTGAAGATGATGTATCTGCAATCGCGAGATATAACAACGATAGTGTCGCGATCACGGTTTTGATCACATAGAAAAGTACAATAAAGACTTGACTTAAATCATGTTACAATAGATTGTTTGTTATTGAAGAATGACAAATTAAGTCGGTGACTACGTTATTAGCAATGTAAAAACTATGATTGATCATTACACTAAAAATATATAGTGTAAAGTGTAAGTGTAGCATGGTAAAATATGTGTTTTGTTACAAAAAATAGTAGTGTGCATGATGAATTGTGTTGTTAAACAAGATCATTTTTACGGGAAGATAATTAGTGTGGTGTGGACAAGATGAATTATGTTATTTCACAGGATAATTATCAGTGTAAGTATTATGAATTATGGTGTTTTACGGGACAGCCTGTTGTAAGCATGATGAATTATAGTGTTTTGGGTCAGCCTGTTGTGTAACCGTGATGAATTATGGTGTGAGAGGTAGTGAGAAGACCAGTATGATACTGACAGCCACAAATATAACACATTTCACCCTGAGTGGTGTATAGAAATGTATACTGTCTGTGACAGCCACTTCTCATATATTTGATTTTACTCCATGTTATATCCAACGCTGATAGGGTTTGTTTTTCATTCAAATTGTTGTAAATTTCTACAATTATCAACTTTTTCAGAATTTGTAACGTAAAGCTTGGACTTTGGCAAATATGGATAGACAATGTATTTCCGTTTTAATATAAATTATGTGTGATATTTTTCATATCTTAAAATTTTGAAACCATTTATATCTTGTATGTAATTTTTATTCTAAACCAAACAATTAATTTTGTTTACATACAGCATTGTTTATTCTCCCACACAGATCACATGTGTTATGTACATTTTAACAAATGCAAATAAAACTATGCAATTTTCATTTGTATTTTAACTAAAATTATGCTTTGCTAAAACCGATTTGCAAAAATAATTACAAGAAAACAATATTTGTTCATAAAACCTTTATACTGAAATATACGTTAATACATTAGACAGGAACAAACTCTTTTACATCAAGAAAACACACATCGTTTTACAAAGATAAGTATGACTGTGCATTTCAGTTGACAGTTCCAAATTACCTGGGTTCTCAGGGTCCTTTACAAACATAAAAGCTAGCAACGCTCATTACCATTTGTTATTCTGGACTAAAAGAGAGCCACTTTCAGTTCAAACATCACCTTAAAACATTTTACACTTTGAAACACTTAAAACAGTATTTTATCAATTAAATCTAGGTTATTTACGTTACCAACCTAATATTTGAAAACAGCTTTTTATTATTTTAACCATAGATATAATTTTCCTGTATTTTGTATTATGAAAAAATTAATACTGGGTTTGCCATTAATTGATATAACGCAATCTTTATTCTTTCAAAAATCTAGATTTTTTGTGAACGACAACTAGAGTAAAAATATTTATTGAGCGGACAAACTTTTTTTATAAATAAAATCGAAAAGGATCTGGTGATATCGAATACAACTGTTTTTGTATTATTTGTTGAAGTTAAGGTTGAGGTAGCTACATTCATTGTGTATGGTTAGTGAAAACATTTTATTGAGAATAATAATCAATTACAGTACAATTATTTGCAATAGAGGGACGAATTTGATTGTTCTTAGAAATAAAATGAGTGACGCAGAACTTTTGAATGGTAAAGTACAAGAGACAGCTAATTTAAAACCACTTTTGAAACAAATGGGTATTTATAAAAAAAAATAATCTTGCTCTAAAGTATTGTACCTGTACGGGTACAGTAAAATAAATGGTACCTTAATTTCAGTTCTTAGGATTTTCCCTTTAAAAGACCTTTCTCATTTTAACAAGAGTGAAATGTCAGCA